AATTGATTTAATTATTTTTTATATTTTATATACATAATTATATTTTTAAATTTATCAACTTTAATTTTATATCAAAAAATAATAATTTTTTAATAAATATATCATAAAATATATTAAATAAAAAGTATACTAATAATTGTTCTCATGAAAATGAGGGAAAATGTTAAATTAATTACCATCAACTTGGTAGTAAATGACGAGTGCGCTTACATGTTTGTACTAGGAAATAATTATTTCTTATTAAGCCAGCAGGCAATCTTATCCCTACAAAGTACATACGGTAATAATTATTAGTCAATATTTAATAAAATAATTGATATTTGTTATTTAATAATTTAAAAATAATTTATAAAAAAATATTTCTAAATATCTAAAATAATTATAAATTAATAAAATTAAATTAATTAAATACACATATAATATGTTATACAACTTTAACAATTAAATGTTTGATTATAACCATAGCCCCAGTTACATGTCTGCTTATTTCTCACACGGTTGGATATAATGAGGGCAATTAAATAGCACAGTGTATTGCTATTACATTAATGATAACGAGTTATCCATATATCGTTTAAATCGGTTGCCAGCCTTTGGGTATATATATACGAATGTGTTTGCTGTGGTTAATGAGCCTCAAGTCAACTTGCTCGTTTGCTCCATCAACATCCATATGCAAAATACATTTAAAGCTAAAAGTTCAAATACTTACCCTTGTTAAAGTTTTTCATCAACGAGAGCTGGATGGAGTTAATGTTTACTTTTTAAAAAACATTCATTTAAGGTTAAACTCATTATTTCAAACATAAAGGCTTTTATTTTGATATTTTGTAGACAATTATTAGTTTATAGATAGTTATTAATTGTTAATTGTTAATTTTTTATTTTAAATGAGGGTAATTTTTTTTCTAAATATTCTTACCATATTATGAGAAAGAGAGAAAAGGTGATCCTAATAAATCAAACAATAAATTCAGATAATATTTTCATTAAAAGACAAATGACTAACTATTTGATTTAAGTGGGTAGAACTAATTATTAATTTTAATTAAATACATAAATTAAATATTTTTAATTAT